GCTGATGATGCTGCTGCTGCTGCTGCTGCTTTTTCTGCTAATGCTGATGCTGATGCTACTGATGCTGATGCTAATGCTGCTGATGTTGATGCTAATGCTGATACTGATGCTGCTGACGCTTTTGACGCTGATTTTGCTTCTGACCCCTCAGATGACGTTGATGCTGATGATGCTGATGATGCCGATGATGATGATGCTGATAATACTGATGTTGATGATGCAGCTGAAGCTGATGATGCTGCTGACGCTGATGAAACTGATGCTGATGATGCTGATGCTGATGCTGATGCTGATGATGCTGATGCTTAAGCTGATGATGATAATGCTGATGCTGCTGAAGCTGATGCTGATGCTGCTGAAGCTGATGCTGATGCGGTTGCAGACACTTTTGATGCTGCTGATGCTTCTGATGCTGCTGATGCTGCTAACGCTGGTGATGCTGATGACGCTGATGATGCTGCTGCTGATGATGCTGAAGACGCTGATGATGCTGATGATGACGATGATGATGATGATGATGCTGATTCGGATTGTAATGCTTCTTATGTTGATGATCATGCTGCTGATGCTGCTGTTGCTTATGATGACGCTTATGATGCTGATGATGACGCTGATGATGCTGATACTCATGCTAATGCTGATGCTGATGCTGATGATGCTGCTGACGCTGTTGATGACGCTGATGATGATGCCGATGATGCTGATGATGCTGATGAAGCTAATGATAACAATGATAATGCTAATGATGCTGCTGATGATGCTGATGCTGACACTTATGATGTTAATGATGACGCTGATGAAGTTGATGCTGACACTGCTGATGCTGATGAATACATACGTAGTTTATATAAAGAGATAGAGAGATACATAGACAGATTAGATAGCGATAGACGGATAGCTAGATAGATAACAGACAGCTGCTTTGCCTGTGAGAACAGTATTATAAGTAACTAGCAGTATCAACTTCTCTTCATCAACGTATTTCGACATGTTCTTCTAAAAGGTGTACTTACTGCAGATCTTGTTCTTTTTCTGCAGAACGGACGCAGTCGGGCAAGAAACGGTGGCGAATGGACTGGGGGCGTGTAGGGAACTGAATACGTTATGTATTAAATAGAGTATCCCATTGACGTTCGGCCACTTCCTGGTTGAGAACAATAAGAGAAAGCGGACTTACGTCCCGCGCACATTTCAAGCTTTGGTGACGGCGAGAAACAACATTTCTATGAAGACATTTGCAATCGCTTGTAATTTCCCAAACTAGTTTACTGCCTTTTTTCCTACTGGTGTGTTGGGGACGTTTGTGAGACAGTGTGGGGGAATCAGGCTCTCGTCAATTGTTGGGCATGTAAAGTTATTGGTATCATCTTAAAGCTTGTTCACTTGTCTTTATTTGGATGCAAAAAATATCCGTTTATCTTGAATACAAGTCGAGATATTTGCAAAAGGAGGTGGGGGTCACCTGTTTTCAGAGGTAAAATTAGTGAGAAAATGGCCGCCAAAGATTAGTTATTTCCTTAGCTGAAGAGTCCGTGGTAACTGAAGATTTACATTTTTTATGCCTTTAATCAAAGCTTTTAAGAAACATCCACACAGAAATGAGTTCTTTAAAGGGCATGAAAGTGTTGTGCCAAAAAACAACAATTTGATAAAAATTCACAAACCTGCGGAAAAATGCAGGTTTCTTCACTTTGGTTATTTGGACGAGACCCTGATTCCACCTCGCAGCTTCACATATAATAGAATGGCTTTCTTTGCACTTGTTTAAAATGAACATTTCATCTTGCCTGCACAAACGTGGATGAAAACAACTCATAACTGAAAGGGTTAATAGACCTACCTGCGTGTAATATTATAGCTTTTGTACTTAGCTGTACGTCTGTTTGTGTGTCTGCTTGTTTGTTCTTCTTTCCTTCTCTCTCTCTCTCTTCCTCTCTCTTCCTCTCTCTTTCTCTCTCTCTCTCTCTCTC